TTATTAATGGGTCAGTTGCCTAACGATATCAAATCCTTACTTTCCAAAAATAGGTCAAGAGTGCAAGTCTCAGTGGAGGCATGTGTGTGTGAGAGTACTAATTAGGGAAAAAAAAAATTGAAATTCACTTTATAAATTGGGATTAGTAAATATAAATAGTGCTAATGACTTATATTTACTATTTAATAGAGTCAGTTTCATAATTTTTAAAAAATGAAGTTGCTGAAAATGCTGACGTGTGTATGAAAAAACACTGTTTATTCTCACTGAAGTACCATATTTAAGCACTTAGATATCACTTTTTGTGCATCAGGTACCACTTTTATTTTGAGAGTAGAGGTACCATTTTTATTCACATACGTACCACTCTTTGTGCACATAGGTCACTTTTTGTGCATCAGAACAAAAAAGTAGTACCTAAGAACAAGAAGTGGTATCGTAAGGGTAAACAGTGATTTTTTATATCTTTATTTTTCAAAATTATGAAACTTTGACTCCATCAAATAATAAATATGGGTTATTAACACTATTTATACATAATAATCCCTTATAAATTTACTCCTTTTACTATAACAGTCAAGCCCTTGGCCCATCTCTTCATTTACCTTTAGCCTAAATTTTTAAGCATACAATATTTGGGGCAAAAAGTTTTCAGAACCACTAAACAATTCTGCACATTGATCTTACTTTTTCAATTTTACCCCTGCTCCAAACAAAAAAAAAAAAATTTCTTTCTTTTTAAATTTTTTTTTTTTTCAAAAAATCAAGCAATTGTTATAGACATAAAGATATGTACAGTGATGGGCCATAGACCAGGACAAGAAAACAAGACACCTAGCCCAAACAAGGAACAAGCAAAAGCCCATCCACCAGGCATTTTATACTTGAGACCGTTGGAACAGTGTCATCTACTCCGGTGAGAACGCAGCCATTTCTGGCGACCAGCTAGAGGAAACTAGCTAATTGTGAGAGTCTGGGGGCCGCAGCGTTGAATGGATGAACGAAACTAAGAACTCGTTGTGCAGCAGCCGCGCCCCCATCCTTAAAAATGTGCTTGTATGCCATGGGTTTGTGGTCAATTTGTTGAGGATAGCTAACCAAAGGATGACTCTGTGCCTTGGTATTGACAGTGAATTCCATACAAGTTGCAACCATGGAGCAGGGGGAGAAGGTCTGGTGATTGATGCTATGTTTTGTTTGAGGGAGAACTTACCATTTGGGGATGCTTTCTAAGTGAATGAATCAATGCCAAAATCAGGCAAGGCCAGTGAATTAAGGCTTGGGAGGAGGTTTAGTATATTAGTGGGGAAATTCCACGAACCCAAGTCTCCATCTTTGCATTTCGAGGGATGTCAGCTGCTTCCATCTGATCTCTGTTGAATCTGCTGCAGAGGGACTCGTCCTCAAGCCAATTGTGATGCCAGAAGGTTATCATCTCCCCATTTCCTATCCTAGCATGAACCAATTTCTTGAGGACAAGTCTGAGCTGAAGGAGGCATCTCTAGTTGTAAGAGCATCTTTAAGGTATTTTAAGCTCCCAGAAGCATCTATTTTTTACTATGTACTCTAGAATCCATTGTGCCCATGAGTTGTCCTTGCTGTCAGTGATTATCTTCGGTAAGTGTCTGAGCGTGGAAGCCCTGTTGAGATTCTCCACGTTAGAAATGCCTAGACCACCTTCAGCTTTGGGCCTACAAACATTGAGCCATGCCACCTTTGCTTTTTTGTTGTCGAGTCCATCATGAATCTCAGATTTTGCCAAATCCAAGAAGGGTGATGATAGAATGCTGTGTTAATGGCTCAACTCCACAGGGAAAAAAAAAAAAAAAAAATTTGAACTCTTTGAGTGATTAATGATGAGACCAGAGACTGATGAGAAGGAAGATAGTGCATTGCCAAATCAGGGTTTGCTCCTTCCGCTACAGTACCAGACTTGGGCCAACACAACATCATAAAACATCATTCCGGTGTTTCAAGTTTTGGGCCAATTAATTGGACTGTTTGGCAACTGTTGAAAACAAAACAGAATCAACCAAACATGTTTTGGATGGAGTTTGGGCTATTGTAGCGGGCCTGGAACAGAACAACACAAAACACATACCAAACATAGCCTTATCTAATATATATATATATATATATATATATATATATATATATATATATATATATATATATCATGTGTAAATTTTTTTTTTTATCTCTAACAGTATGTTAAGATACATCTTAGAGCATTGGAGATGTAAGCGAAGCGCGAAAATGGCATAACACGAATCGAGTTTCTTTATTCTTGCCTCCGTGTCCATGACCAAAGCCTATTGGCTGATACACATTTTAGAATAAAGAATGTATAAAATTGTTGTGTATTTTATACAACCTTGATACACTGTCCAAATGTGTAAAATTGTTGTGTATTTTATATAATTTTTTTACACAGCCATATCATTATATTTCATTTCTCCTTCCTCTTTCTCATTTCATTAAAGAATCAATTCTATATTAAATAGATTTGTAAAAGTAACGTGCGGTTTGACATGACACTTGGTTTGTTGTCATTGGAGGATACATTTTTACACAAATGCTATAAAATAAGAACTAAAAATAAATAATTCAAAATTTTTGTGTAAATCTATCATCAGATTTATAGATATATATATATATATATATATATATCATACAACTGGTGAAGATGCTCTAAGAGAGTATTTAGAAAATAGTTCCTATAAAACGTTCGCATTTCTCCACCATTGCTTCAGTAGCTAAACTATGAGCAACCTCAATCACATCTCTAGATATAAATACCAGATCAAAAGACTTCTGTTGTGGAAGAACAAATTTAATATCTCCAATAGCAGTAAGCTAACCGAATAGAGGAAAACTGCATTTTCTTCACTGCTTGAACCACCATGTTCGGGTCATGACTCCAAAAAAACCACTTTGAAGTTTCCATTGCTGACACAGAGCAATAGCTTTCCTAATAACAAAAGGCTTCTACAACTGTGGGATCTGAAACATGGTTCAAGAAGAAAAGGCCAGAGGTTTACTCCATTTTGAAACTATTCAAGATTCTCGAATTTCTACCAGTTTTTGAACATTTTTAACAAGGTTTAAAAACATGATGTATGGAAAAGTAATGCGAAGTGAAAAAAGGTAAATTTGTCTGATTGAAGACTTGTGGAGCAAGGTGAATTAAATGTGCGAAATTGTATTAACAAACCAATACTCGGTTTGGCTGTGAAACTTTGTACTTGAAATTAATAGAATTGGAGAAAAACAATTAAGAAAATTGAACCGATTTTTTTTTTTTTTTTAATTCCACCAATATCAATTCCGAATCTCCAATTTCATATAGCCGAACACAGAGCTTTTGATCTTTTGTTTTGTTGTTGTAATCTCAATGAGACGTTTATTTGTTTAATTGACATTATTTGTTTAATTAAAATTATATGTTTAGATGGACTTGAATTAAATGTTTAATTTATTTAAGGATGGGATTGAAAATTTTCTTGAAGAGTAAAATTATTCTTTCTAAATTGAGAGTATTTTTCTTGCATCTTCAGGACTGTTACTCAGGTCTGCCATGGATGCTTCGAGCTGGAGAAACGAAGAACAGAGACCGGAATGCCCCATTCTCTAACCAAGCAAAAAAACAATAAGCTCGCACTTTCTCTTCGAGTCCAATCTGCTTCATCAGATTAGGGAAACCAAATAGTACATCACCGACATAATAACTGCGGACATTAACAATGAAAAAAACATGGCCTTGTTTGGAATGGAACTTCGAGAATAGTTTTTAGATAATGAAAATAGAAAATAGTTTTTAAATAATGAAAATAGAAAATAGTTTTTAGTTTTCTAAGTCTTAAAATTCGCTTGGTTGAAAAAACTCCAGAACAGTTTTCCGAGAACAAAAACTCAAAAGACTGTTTGGTTGTTTGAAAATAGTTTTCTTAACTTTAAAAAAAACTAAAAACTAAACTGTTAATAAAAATTTGTTATTGTGTCTCACATTTCAGGCCATCTAATTAAATCTTGTGTGTAATTAATAAAATATATATATTTATCATCAAGGACATATTTTATTCAACAAATACATGCATTATTATTATTATTTTTTTTTGTCTATTTACACAATATTAATGATATGTATTTTTTTTTTTTTTTTTGGACTAACACTAAATTAATTACTTAAAAGGTAGTATTAAATAAAGACCTTTATGAACTACTGGAGAACATGAATTGAAATACGTTTGGTAAGTACATTGACCTGCCCAATTTGATTAACATAATCCAATTTTGCCAAAATTAGCTAAAACAGATACATCAAGTTATAGCAAGTCGTACATATGTGTGTGTGTAATATCTTACATGAAAAAGAAAAAGAAAAAAAAAATAAAAATAAAAAATAAAATAAAAATGAAGAAGAAGAGGAATAAGCAAAGCAATTTAGGGAAACCAAAATCGAGAGTGTTGTAGCCCAATTTTCTTCATCAACTGTCATTGCTGCGTGAGGAGGAGAAGGAAAAGTTACCATCATTAATTTTTCAGGACAACTTGATCTGATTGCAGAAAGGGGATCTATTCATGAAAGGCAAAGACGAAGCCGAGGGAAAAAAAAATTACCCAACCATATCTGATGTTTCGTGAAATCTCGCCTAATTCACCATAGATTGGGCAACAAAATCGACATGGATCACGAGAGCTTTACAGTGGAGGAACGGAGAGTTGAGTTTTATAATGGAGAGACAGAGAGAAGAAAGTATGACAGCGAGCCGACCTTTGAAATGAGAATGACTTTGCGTCATTTTTTAAGTGGGCACCGCTTCTCCGTCTTTTCCTTTTTTATCATCTCCGTGTTCTCAAAAATTTTCAAAATACCAAAATAACAAAAAGTTGTTCCCTGACAATTAATACTATGAGAAAACAGTTTTTAAAAAACTGTTTTCTCAAAACAAATCCAAACTGCACTATTTTGCAGTTTTTAATTTTTTTTAACTATAGTTCTAATCCAAGCACGGCCATACAAAAGCAAAAGATGCCGCAGCAGTTTCGGGAGTAGCACTCGCACAAACGAGTATCATTCTTGACTCCACATTTGTAGCAAAATTCGGTCCCACATCTACATTCCAAAAGATTAATATTAAGAATTAATGACCTCCAATTAAGCGGGCCATACAAAAGCAAAGATGCTGCAGCAGTTTCGGGAGTAGCACTCGCACAAACGAGTATCATTCTTGACTCCACATTTGTAGCAAAATTCGGTCCCACATCTACATTCCAAAAAATTAATATTAAGAAATAATGACCTCAATTAAGCAAAGTAGTTTTCTTATACAGAAGGTAATTTTGTTTGGGTTATATATACTTATATATATATATATATATATATATATATATATGGAATTATTAGGAATAATTGCATCTAATTAAAGTTAGAACAAAATGTTGATATGGATATAAAAAAATATTATTCATTTATCCAAACTACTTCTATTATTTTCATGTATCACTTTTATATATAGAGGTACCCCTCTTACATACATGTACCCTTTTTTTGTGTCAAACATCATCATATACCAATTTTTGTGCGGCATAAGAAATGGTACTTCTGCGCACAAAATCCCTGCTCCATCACTAGTTGGCTCAACACACCAACCCTCTCTCGAAACGGGAACAAGTACAAGTGATAAGGCAACAACTAAAGTAGTTCTTCTCTACCTGGTCTACACCGTCAACCAACCAATTAAACTACGAGCCACCCCTCCAGTCCTTCTGAATCCTTTCGAGGGGTGTAAGGTAAGCCACTGTTTTTCCTATAAGTTCTTTACCATGGGTTTGCATATAAATCACATGCATAAGAGTAGTACTTTAATAACCAAGACAAAAGTGGTATATGAAAATAGTAAGAATATTTTGAATAATGAACTATATTCTATGTCCATGTTAATATTTTGTTCAACATTATTTTTTCAAAAGAATATGATTTTAACTCCGTCAAATAGTAAATATGAGTCTCCTATGCAAAGAGATAGAGGGTAACTTCATATAACATTATTCTAGGACCATGTCAGCATTTGGTTTTTTTTTTTTTTATATAAATCATGATCGATTTTAAATCCATCAAATAATAAATATGAAAATTAAGTCTATGAATCCGTAATGATCAATATATATGTATAAAGAGATAGAGTACCTGCATGTAATATTATTGCAACCCTCAGTACGTTCAATGCAACGGCCGCATTGGGGACACCTCTTCCAGTAACAAGACCGGAGAAGCCCTTCAAACTGAATATCATTAGCATCTCTCCGCTCTCCACTCTCTTCACATCGATAACCGAAGTGCCATGGAAGTTTGCAGTGGAAACAGAACATCCTTTTGCAATTGGGACATACTGATTTCGTAACACTCCCTCCACATTCGTTCACAACTAGAACCGAGCAATTCGGATTCGGACAGTAACATCTTTCAAACCCTAGAACCGTCGAGTCGCAGAGCTTGTCGCACCACTTGTCGAACAGTTTGGCCAGCACAACCGGCCTGCAAGAGAGAGGGTCTAACAGCTGTTCGCAGTCCAGCGCCGGACACGGGACGTCGGCGGCAATATTGTCCTCCACCTTCGCTTGGATGTACTTGATCATGCAATCTGTGCAGAACGGGTGAACGCACCGGTTATGGTTCTTGAATTTCTTGGATGATGATGATAACATGGGTTCGATGCATATCTCGCAAGTGAAAGTTGTTGGTGCTTCGTCTTCTTCGCGAGGTCTCTCTTGGTTTTGCCGGAGCTTTTGCCCTGTGTTTCCCATCGTCTAATAATCTTTATCTATATACTACTCGCGAGGTATAGAATAATTAAAAGTAAAAAGTGTTTCAATTCAATTAGTATAATACAAACTTAAACTACACTTCTTCATTAATATAACTGACCCTAAAAGATTAATTAAAAAGAATCTAAATTTCGTATCAAAGAGGTACCGCAAAATATGTGTCTAAAATTTTGATTATGAGCTTCTTTTTTTACTGGGTTTGTACCTCAAATTAAGAGACCCAAAAAAAAAAAAACAAAAATTACTTAAAATAATATGTCAATGAATGAGTCGTTTAACAAACATAAATAGTTTAAAAAAAAAATTAAAGGAAAGAAAAATTAGAGAACCAAAAAAATTTGGGCTTTGATTCAAAAAGAAAATTTTGACCTTTTTTTTTTTTTTTTTTTTTAAGGAAATTAAGCGAATTTAACAACAATAAAAAGAAGAAATACAAAATTTAAGAGATAATTTTAAAAAATACAAATTTTAAGAGAGACATAATATGGATTTTTTCATATATACATATAAAAATATATAAATTTAGTATATGTATTCTAGTAAGCTGAGCCGGACCAAGGTCACGTGTCTCCTGGGCATACACTAGCTCTGCCGCTCTATATTATGCATGCATGACTCTGCATTAAAAAAAACAAAAATTACTTAAAATAATATGTCAATGAATGAGTCGTTTAACAAACATAAATAGTTTTAAAAAAAAATTAAAGGAAAGAAAAATTAGAGAACCAAAAAAATTTGGGCTTTGATTCAAAAAGAAAATTTTGACCTTTTTTTTTTTTTTTTTTTTTTTTTAAGGAAATTAAGCGAATTTAACAACAATAAAAAGAAGAAATACAAAATTTAAGAGATAATTTTAAAAAATAAAAATTTTAAGAGAGACATAATATGGATTTTTTCATATATACATATAAAAATATATAAATTTAGTATATGTATTCTAGTAAGCTGAGCCGGACCAAGGTCACGTGTCTCCTGGGCATACACTAGCTCTGCCGCTCTATATCATGCATGCATGACTCTGCATAATCTCTGTTTGTAAGTTGTTTCTTGGTAGAGAGTTCTTCATCTATACAATCAGGGGCAGAGTCATGGTGTGCCCAGGGGCACGTGCCCCCTCATGAGCTTGTCCGGATTACTATAATATATATACTAAATTTATATATTTTAACATGTATTTATGAAAAAATTCATATAATCATGCCCTCTCCCACTTAAAATTTTGTATTTTCTAAAATTATCTCTTAAATTTTGTATTTCTCTTTTTTACTCTTTAAATTCGTTTAGCGTCCTTTAAAAAAAGTCAAATTTTCTTTTTTTGAATCAAACTCCAATGTTTTTTCCCTTTCAAAATTCTTTCACTTTTCTTTCCTTTTTAATTTTTTTGTTAACTATTTATCTTCCTTAAATTACTCATTGATTGACAGGTTATTTTGAGTAATTTTTCTTCTTTATTTCTTGATTTATAGAATCTAGATTTATTGTCATGATTATTGAATTTTTTTTTTATTACACTGTGCCCCCAAAAATTAATTTCTGGCTCCACCCCCGTATGCAATTTACCATTTAATTGTACTATGTCCTCCATTCATACATGCTCATATAACGAATTCAATTTATAATAAATGATAAATTATTCTCACCGATGGCATGAAAGATGTGCTTCAAGTAAAGTTCTAAGTAGGCGTGCCACTTGGGTTGGATATTCAAGAGCAGTTCGATTTTTTACGGGCTTGGGTAATTATTTTTACAATTAGGGTTGAATTTGGGTTGAAAAATCTCAATCCAAATTTAATTAGAGTTAGGCTTAGGTTGAAGTGTTAATAACTCGAGCCAACCCGAACCCAAATTTTAATATTATTTTCATACATATTTTTATTTTTAACTACATTATATATTTAAACTATGATTATTTTTTTCTTTTCAAATTGTTTTGTTAAATCTTAACTCATTGTATGTTAACATTTAGGAGAATTAATTTTCTTTTTTTTTTTTTTTTTTTGTAATTTATTAAAAATTTAGGGAAAATTACATATAAATGGAGTTAAAGTTTCATATTTACTTAGAGACTGAGTCAAAGTTCCATATTTCTCTAAAATGGATTGCTGAGGTGGCACATGGTTTTTTACTGTTTAGAAAATTGTGGTGCCTAAAATGCCCTTCCCTAACAAAAAAGTAGTACTTTCAGTTCAAAAAAGTAGTACCTTCAGTTCAAAAAAGTAGTACCTTCGAAGAAAAAGTAGTACCTTCGCGGGTGTTTAAAAAACATGGTACCTGGACAACAAAAAGTAGTACCTTCAGTTCAAAAAAGTAGTACCTTCGAAGAAAAAGTAGTACCTTCGCGAAAGGGTATTTTAGGCACCACAATTTCTAAACAGTAAAAAACCATATGCCACCTCAGCAATCCATTTTAGAGAAATATGGAACTTTGACTCAGCCTCTAAGTAAATATGGAACTTTGACTCCATTTATATGTAATTTTCCCAAAAATTTACAAAAAGTCTTTAAACTTTTTCTTATATATATATGAACAATTCTGCACATTGATCTTACTTTTTCAATTTTACCCCTGTTCCAAAAAAAAAAAAAAATTCTTTCTTTTAAAATTTTTTTGTTAAAAAAAAAAAATCAAGTAATTGTTATAGACATAAAGATATGTACATTGATGGGCCATAGACTAGGACAAGAAAACAAGACACCTATCCCAAACAAGGAACAAGCAAAAGCCCATCCACCAGGCATTTTAAACTTGAGACCGTTGTAACAGTGTCATTTACTCCGATGAGAACGCAGCCATTTCTGGCGACCAGCTAAAGGAAACTAGCTAATTGTGAGAGTCTGGGGGGCTGCAACGATGAAAGGATGAACGAAATTAAGAACTCGTTGTCCAGCAGCCCCTCTCCCATCCTTAAAAATGTGCTTGTATGTCATGGGTTTGTGGTCAATTTGTTGAGGATAGCTAACCAAAGGATGACTCTGTGCCTTGGTATTGACAGTGAATTCCATACAAGTTGGAACCATGGAGAAGGTCTGGTGGTTGATGCTATGTTGTGTTTGAGAGAGAACTTACCATTTGGGGATGCCTTCCAAGTGAATGAATCAATAAAAGTTGGAACCATGGAGAAGGTCTGGTGGTTGATGCTATGTTGTGTTTGAGAGAGAACTTACCATTTGGGAATGCCTTCCAAGTGTATGAATCAATGCCAAAGTCAGAGCTGAAGGATGCATCTCTAGTTGTAAGAGTAACGACCCACTCCACCACATGGTATGATATTGTCCGCTTTGAGCCTTAGCCCGCATGGTTTTGCTATTAGGCTTCACCCCAAAAGGCCTCATACCAATTGGAGGTAACACACTTACATATAAGCACTTCACCTTTCCTCTACTCAGGCGATGTGGGACTTGTGCACCCGTAACTCGCCAGTGTGGTAGCCTGACAGTGTCTCTCATACCCGCCCATAGGATTATCACAATCCACCCCCCTTAGAGACCCGACGTCCCCGTCGGCACACTTCTGGCTGGGTCAGGCTCTGATACCATTTGTAACGACCCGCTCCACCACATGGTATGATATTGTCCGCTTTGGGCCTGAGCCCTCACGGTTTTGCTCTTAGGCTTTACCCCAAAAGGCCTCATACTAATTGGAGATGACACACTTACATATAAACACTTCACCTTTCCTCTACCCAGGCGATGTGGGACTGTGCACCCGTAACTCGCCAGTATAGAAGCCTGACAATGTCTCTCGCACCCGCCCACGGCACACCCGCCCACAAGGTCATCACAATATCATTTGTAACGACCCGCTCCACCACATGGTATGATATTGTCCACTTTGGGCCTAAGCCCTCATGGTTTTGCTCTTGGGCTTTACTCCAAAAGGCCTCATACCAATTGGAGATGACACACTTACATATAAGCACTTCACCTTTCCTCTACCCAGGCGATGTGGGACTGTGCACCCCGTAACTCGCCAGTGTGGTAGCCTAACAGTGTCTCTCGCACCTGCCCACGGCACACTCGCACACAAGGTCATCACAATCCACCCACTTTGGAGACCCGACGTCCCCGTCGGCACACTTCCCGTTGGGTCTGGCTCTGATACCATTTGTAACGACCCACTCCACCACATGGTATGATATTGTCCACTTTGGCCTGAGCACTCACGGTTTTGCTCTTGAGCTTTACCCCAAAAGGCCTCATACCAATTGGAGATGACACACTTACATATAAGCACTTCACCTTTTTTGTACCCAGGCGATGTGGGACACCACATGGTATATTATTGTCCGCTTTGGCCTGAGCACTCACGATTTTGCTCTTGGGCTTTACCCCAAAAGGCCTCATACCAATTGGAGATGACACACTTACATATAAGCACTTCACCTTTCTTGTACCCAGGCGATGTGGGACTGTGCACCCCGTAACTCGCCAGTGTGGTAGCCTGACAGTGTCTCTCGCACCCGCCCACGGCACACCCGCCCACAAGGTCATCACAATCCACCCCCCTTGGAGGGGCCCAATGTCCCCGTCGGCACACTTCCCGCTGGGTCAGGCTTTGATACCATTTAGCACTTCACCTTTCCTCTACCCAGGCGATGTGGGACTGTGCACCCATAACTTGCTAGTGTGGTAGTCTGACAGTGTCTCTCGCACCTGCCCATGGCACACCCGCCCACAAGGTCATCACAATCCACCCCCCTTAGAGACCCGACGTCCCCGTCGGCACACTTCCCACTGGGTCAGGCTCTGATACCATTTGTAACGACCCACTCCACCTCATGGTATGATATTGTCCGTTTTGAGTCTGAGCCCGCACGATTTTGCTATTGGACTTCCCTAAAAGGCTTTATACCAATTGGAGGTGACACACTTACATATAAGCACTTCACCTTTTCTCTACCCAGGCAATGTGGGATTTGTGCACCCGTAACTCACCAGTGTGATAGCCTGACAGTGTCTCTCGCACCCGCTCACGGCAC